TTAATACTTTAAACAATGCAACTCAAGTCGAGCATTCTGTTCATCTTCGTGTAGGGGTGGGGAGAGGGAGGGGCAGCAGGAGGGTGTGTCTTACAAAACTAGGCGGGGTTGTGCTGCATGCGTCTTTTAAACCTTTCCTTATTTCAAAACAAGTTGTGTGATTTTTATCTTTTCCTCTTCAGACCGGAACTGAATACCATGAAAAAGTTACATCTGCTAAAAAACAAACTCAACTCCACCGCTGTTCCAGGGAATGTTCAAAACCTTCCTCATTTCCAGATCCGAAATGGAAAAAAATATTTGCGGCTGCTAATACCTTTATTTGCTTTGTCAGTGTACAAGATATGTAGCAGTTGCCGCTGATCGCTTCTCACTTGATTTTCCTTCAATGGCGAAATCAAAAAGGCAAAGCTTTACTTGACGAGCGTTTGTCATAATTACGTCGAAGAAATTTTGATATACCACTAGTACTGACATACAGCCTTCATTCTAGTCGAAATTTTTAATTGTGAGCAGCTAGACGTGTTGTTATGCAGTGAAATGGAAATAAAACTGAATAAATTTCCTAATCTTTTCGTGCTCCGAATGTAAACAGAAACAGTAGGCTTTAATTAAATAGACGCCCTGGTTAATAGCAGTTGTAAACGTACATTGTTTTGCAGCTTATTAATAAAATAGAGTTGATATAGATGTGAAATAATGTGGCTCAATACAGAACAGAAATATCCAAGCATGTATCTGTGAACTGCACCGATAACGCGTAATCGATTGAGATATAATAGTGTCTGACTGACAAAGGCATATTTAAAATTTTAGTTCCACAAAGTCCTTTGTTCGATGGTAAAGAAGTCGAATTTTTTGGGAGATAATTGAGAACGGTTTGCTGTAAGAACCGACTAAAGGTATGCAAGATACAAAAAAAAAATAATCGATTTTCTCAGAATTTGTCAGAATAAAGGTCTTGGTAAACTGGTGAATTTTGTTTTTTCGTTTTTCGCTTTGCAGGGGCTCGCGAAATTTACACCAAAATCGGCATTTTCCAGATGCTTGTGTTTATATATTGAAAGCTTTTCGGAAAAGATTTCACAAAGAGTAAACCACTCTTATTTCTTGAAGTTGTTAGAGATGTCAAATTTACTTAAAACAAACTCCAATTTTTGATGAATTTTTATATTTCTTGCTAGGTACAAAGATCGGAAAAGCATCCTGATGCATTAAAATTTAACCAACGAAACTATATTCAGAATAAAACAAACATCCCAACTAAACATCAGGCGAAAAGAATTTGGGGTTAGATGAAACGGCGAACTCTATGAGTGATTTGAAACAGGTCTCTTGAGTAAAATGAGAGAACTTTTGACTTTTCGTGTCGATGAAAAAGTAAGCAGACAGCTCGTAAAACCTGGCATTTCTTTGCCTAAAGATGTATAATTTTACTCCAAAGCATCTTTTAAATAAAAATAACCAGTTTTTTTTTAAATTCGGAGTTGTGTAGTAGCCCTTTCACTTGAATTTCTAGGTCCATTCCGGCAACAATAAGAAAGTGTTCATGACACTTTGTAAACCAGGCTGTTTTGTATTCTTGACTATGATTAGCTCTGTCTGAAATTTAAACACCACAAACAGCAGTTGTCCCTGGCCTCCTCTCCCCACCCCTCCCCCAAGCAGCACCCTCACTTTTTGCACCTTGTTGCCCCAAAATGGATATAAGTACTCTTGTAATAGGCCCTTTGGAGTACCGACATGGTTGTTAAGAAAAAA